ACCCAGCAGCAGCATAATAATAAAACTGTACACTAACAGGGCTATTCAATTAGTTTGGAATGGGGCCGGTTGATGAAAATGATCCAAAGCAAGGGGCCAGGAAAAGATGGCTTGAAATATGAGCAATCATATTAAGAGCTTCAGATACAGTTCATACTACAACAGCATAGTGGAGTGCATATATGTGTTTCATTAATCAAACAACATAAAAAAATCCATAAAAAAAATGTCATCTGTGGAAGCCGTGATACTGTAAAAAGCACGACCAATCATTTTAGCCGGCCCGGCTAAAATAACTGGATGGCCTACCTGCCTGTCAGCCTTCCATCTGTGCACAAACTTATCTCGTGCCCTCATTGGTCATGTGCGCGTTCGTGTGTGTTGGAGGAGGGACTCTGTAAGGAAGTGGCAGATTTTTTCCGGCTGTGTATTTTCAAAGTCGAGTGCACTCGAGCTGGTTTCTCCACAATTACCTACCCCACCTTTAAGTCAATTTTTCTGGTATCAGTACTTTACTTATTTTTCTGACTACTTTTCACTTTGACTTCTTACATTTTGAACACAAATACCTGTACTTTCTACTTCTTACATTTTCCAAACAGGCTGGTTCCTTTAGTTTGAATGTGTGTTTGGTGGCGTGATCATTATTATTTATAGGGATCTGCAGATAAATGTTTAGTCTTCTCAAGCACCAACTATCAAATATCTCGCCTGATTGTTGGCACTTGACAATCACCTGTCCCTGCATTTTACTCAGGTGTAACTAAAGCCTGATTTAAGGGTTGTTTATATTTCACATCATTAATCAGAATCTGCAAAGTAACTAAAATAAATGTAGTGGAGTAAAAATACCAGGTTAACCTCTGAATTGTAGTAGAGTAGAATTGCTGTTTTGTTTAGTAATGGATATTGAATATGGAATAAAGGTTTTGACAAGACCTGGTGTAACAATAATCAAAAAGGACATTAAAAGAGCTCCAGATGTCAATGATCTAAACAAAACAGCACACCTGAAATGTATTAAATACTTTATTAAGGGCAGTGAATTAGTTTTTTCTGTATGTTTTTCAAATCAGTGTTATACAGTAAGTGTCATAGACAGTGTTACATTGCTATTATTATCCTTAAAATATATGTAAAACAAAACCACTTATGATCTTTTTATTTGAGTGGTTTACTAATGACAGTTAATTCTGTTTCTGCTATTGATGGTTTCATTTTTGTGAAAAATAATCAAATAATAAAATTCAATAACGTGCTTTAACAACTAGATGTGCCTTTCTATCAGCTGTGCACCGTTATGGTGTAAATACAGCCTATCTACCAATTGGATCAAATATAAAAGTCAGCCGAATTAGTATTGATACTGCAAGGAGACGTATTGTGTGAAAAGAAATGTAAGATGTTGTTTAATTGCTGATATATTTATGATCCACGTCACGTTTTCAGTTTTGGCGGCAAGTTTGTCCAGAAGTCTTCTCATCAGGGCTCTATAAATACAGAACTACGGCAGATATGTCATATTTAATGCAGCCGAACCGTGTATTACAATGCCGTTATGTGATGACCTCCAAACTCGGAATAAAGTATTATTTTTTTTTTTTTTTTACATTTATTTTAGTTACTTTGCAGATTCTGATTAATGATGTGAAATATAAACAACCCTTAAATCAGGCTTTAGTTACACCTGAGTAAAATGCAGGGACAGGTGATTGTCAAGTGCCAACAATCAGGAGAGATATTTGATAGTTGCTGCTTGAGAAGACTAAACATTTATCTGCAGATCCATATAAAGTATATTCATTACTCGTTATTCTCTACTAATAGTTCATTAAAGACTGTATATAATATCTATTTTGCATATCCCTTTCAAGATTTCAAGATTTTCTAAGGTTTATTGACATATCATATACACAACTAATTCAATAACGTGCTTTAACCACTATGCGGTGCACACAAGGTACACACAGCCATAATAACTGTGTATTATTAGTGTAGGACACTTGTGTATGTATAACATCTGAAGATGTGTAGTTTTATTCATGTTTTCACATAATTGTACAGGATATTGCTATATTATTTCACATGTTTTACTTCTAATATCTGATTTGTAAAACATCACAGACAGAAAGGTATATCCGTCATTTAACAGTAAGCTATTGAAATTCTGAATCCATAGATGTGTCTCCCATCACCCAACACCCCTGACTATTCTTTCAACTCAGTATTTACATTCTTATATTCAAAGAAAAAGTCCTTTTCTATCAGCTGTGCACCGTTATGGTGTAAATATAACCTATCTACCAATTGGATCAAATATAAAAGTCAGCCGAATTAGTATTGATACTGCAAGGAGACGTATTGTGTGAAAAGAAATGTAAGATGTTGTTTAATTGCTGATATATTTATGATCCACGTCACGTTTTCAGTTTTGGCGGCAGTACTTCCTGTTTGTCCAGAAGTCTTCTCATCAGGGCTCTATAAATACAGAACTACGGCAGATATGTCATATGTAATGCAGCCGAACCGTGTATTACAATGCCGTTATGTGATGACCTCCAAAGAGAAAAGCAAGCAAACTCGGAATAAAGTATTATTTTATTTAAAAAAAATGTTTTCAGATTTCACATCAACAGGAGTCCGGTTAACTAAAATGTCCGTGCGGAACAATACTACCCCCAACCCATAGATCCGTGGGTGAATAATGTCAATCACCACATTACACACATCCCTTCACATTTACATTAAAGTATTTCGTGAGGCCTTCTAAAATGTTTTTAAATATAATTAGGGTTGTAGTTGAAGAGTTTGTAAATTGCGTTGCCCGCACAACGTCACGTCCGTTAATTCCACATCCACACCTCCACACACATGGATTAACATCGATATAATACATTAATGCAGCCTTTGTTTCTGCTAAAAGAGGTGTCGATCAGCTAGGGCAACAAGAAAATCGGCGAAATCGAGTGTGACGATTAAAAAATAAATTAAAAACATCTAATTTTGACAATAAAAACCGACCAATAGGCGCGGTAGACCATTTGCTAGGCACTTCCGGGTATTTCTCCACTGGTTGGGCCATGTTAACAATACCGTGTAACTGTCACGTTTGAAGGGACGAAACCGTGACATATTCACGTCTCCCAGCATGGTAGATCGTCACATGTTCACGTCTTGCCGTGATACCGGGTTGACCAGGTTAATACAGCTGTGTGTGTAGATACAGGGAACATGTGCTCCTCTGGGTCATGAATCCAGACAGGATGCTCTCTGGTTTTATGATCATGTGAATTGTAAGCTATCTACCTGATCACAAGGGTATATATTATATAGACCTTTTTTTAAATATCAAACTAGAATGTGCCCCCTTGTTGTACCTTTGGTGAGAATCAGCCCCTCTGAAGTAAAGTGCTATAAAGGATGTGTTCCTCTCCACAGAGGGAGGAGGAAGAGTCCTGTTCCTGTGGAGGAGCAGCTGTCCAGCTGTGCTCTGTATCAGGACGTCCTGAAGGATCCAGTCTCTACCAGCTGTGGACACTGGTTCTGCAGACAGTGCATCACCTCATACTGGGAGCAGCGCCCTCCATCAGGAGACCCCTCCTGTCCCCAGTGTGGAAAAAGATCCAGAACCAGAGCTGGCCTGCAGACAGCCAGTCAGACCAGCTCTGTACGAGGTAAGAGGCCGAACTCATGCAGCGTCTTATTCCTCTTCCTGGTTCATTTGTTTTTGTATTAGGTATTCTGTTGAAGAACATAGACATTACAATGGTTATAAAACATTTAAACTTAGTCTGTTTTTATTAGTTTTATTGTTAGATTCTCAAAAGCATTTTCTTATTCTCTCCTGTTTCCTTCTCTTCCAGCAGATAGTGGTCTGCAGGAGGTTTTAGATGAACATAGGCTCAGTCTGAGGAGGAGATGTGAACGTGTGACTGAAGGAACTGATCAAAGTGAAACCCTCCTCAACAGGATCTTCACTGAGCTCTACATCACACAAGGACAGAGTGAAGAGGTTAATACCCAACATGAGGTGAGGCAGCTGGAGACAGCTTCCAAGAAGAAGCCCCTCCATGACACTCCAATCAAGTGCCAGGACATCTTTAAAGCCTTACCTGACCAACAGACTCTCATCAGAGCGGTCCTGACCAACGGAGTCGCTGGAGTTGGAAAAACCTTCTCAGTGCAGAAGTTCACTCTGGACTGGGCCGAGGGTTTGGGAAACCAAGATGTCAGTCTGGTGATCCCGCTCTCCTTCAGGGAGCTGAACCTGATCAAAGGTGAGCAGTACAGTCTTCTCAGGCTGCTCCATGTTTTCCATCCAACCTTACAGAAGGTCACAGCAGAGCAGCTGGCTGTCTGTAAAGTGCTGCTCATCTTTGACGGCCTGGATGAAAGCAGACTTTCTCTGGATTTCAGAAACAATGAGGTTGTGTCTGATGTCTCACAGAAGTCCTCAGTCAACGTGCTGCTGACAAACCTCATCAGGGGGAAGCTGCTTCCCTCGGCTCTCGTCTGGATAACTTCCAGACCTGCAGCGGCCAATCAGATCCCTCCTGAGTGCGTGGACAGGGTAACAGAAGTACGAGGCTTCACTGACGCCCAGAAGGAGGAGTACTTCAGGAGGAGATGGAGTGATGAAGACCTGTCCAGCAGAATCATCTCTCACATCAAGAGCTCCAGGAGCCTCCACATCATGTGTCAGATCCCAGTCTTCTGCTGGATCACTGCTGCAGTTCTGGACCACATGTTGACTACAGACCAGAGAGGAGAGCTGCCCCAGACCCTCACTGACATGTACTCACACTTCCTGCTGGTCCAGACCAAGAGGAAGAAGCAGAAGTATGAAGAGGGACATGAGAAGAGTCCACAGCAGCTGACAGAGGCTGACAGGGGAGGTTCTTCTGAAGCTGGGGAGGCTGGCATTTGAACATCTGGAGAAAGGACACATCATGTTCTACCAAGAAGACCTGCAGCGCTGTGGCCTTGGTGTCACCGAGGCCTTGGTGCACTCAGGAGTTTGTACAGAGATCTTCAAAAGAGAGAGAGTGATCTTCCAGAAAACTGTTTACTGCTTTGTTCATCTGAGCGTTCAGGAGTTTCTGGCTGCAGTGTACATGTTCCACTGTTACACCAACAGAGACACAGAGGTACTGGAGGACTTCCTGCAGGGAGACTGGCCCTATGTGAACAGTAACAGCAGTGATCAGGATTACCCATCCCTGCCTGTCTTCCTAAAGGGAGCCATGGAGAAATCCCTCAGAAGTGAAAATGGCCACCTGGACCTGTTTGTCCGCTTTCTCCACGGCCTCTCTCTGGAGTCCAACCAGAGTCTGTTAGGACGCCTGCTGGGTCACACAGACAAGCGTCCAGAAACCATCCAGAGAGCCATCAGAGGCCAGCTGGGTCGCACAGACAACAGACCAGAAACCATCCAGAGAGCCATCAACAACCTGAAGGAGATGAACAGTTATTCCTCTCCTGACAGGAGCATCAACATCTTCCACTGTCTGACAGAGATGAAGGACCTCTCAGTACATCAGGAGATCACAGAGTTCCTGAAGTCAGAGAACAGATCAGAGAAGGAACTCTCTGTGATCCACTGCTCTGCTCTGGCCTACATGCTGCAGATGTCAGAGGAGGTTCTGGATGAGTTGGACCTGGACAAGTACAACACATCAGAGGAGGGAAAACGGAGACTGATTCCAGCTGTGAGGAACTGCAGGAAGGCCAAGTAAGTCCAGATGTGATTAACTTTATAAACTAATGTGGATCAGAAGTTTAATTATTCAAATAAACACTATAACATTTCTGCTGTTTAAATACTGAGAGAGTAAACCAACACTGTTCTTCTATTTATTTATAATAATAGTTAAACAGAATCGTTCCTCTCTTCATATTGAGTGATGGAGGCGACATGTCAAACACATGAAGGACTCTAGAGGTTTCTCAGCATGTGATCACACCACACAGCAGGACTTAGTTATCAGTTATTATTACTTTCTAGTAGTTTCTTTATCATTAAACACACACACGTTTTTATCACAATGTGTTAGAGTTTAAAATAAGATCTATATCATATCCCACCAATACCAGAGTTATGTCTTAATACTCATATAGTGAGAACATCTGATGGTATTCAGTTTAAAATATTGAAACTTTATTGGGTTTGTTAACTGTGTTTGTGTGCACAATACATTTCCAGATGCTCAGAGAAGCCAACACATCCATCATTCACATCTAAATATGAATTAACATTTAAATATGTACATCTCTAATATTGTCAAGTGATTTATTTAATTTCTGTTTCTATGGTAACAGTCAGTGACAGCAGGAGCACAGACCTGTGATCAGATCACACTGACAACACATTACACTCTATTATCATATATTATTATATATAAAATGGACTAACAGCAAATCTCAATCAGAACATGTCAAATATGTTTTTCATCAAATGCTTGAGGTCATTATGTTTCCTCTTTTTTAACACATGTTGTAATATATGTGTTATTATAGACTTGCTGCCTGTGGACTCTCAGAGACTCACTGTGAAGTCGTGGCCTCAGCTCTGAAGTCTGACCCCTCCAATCTGAGAGATCTGGACCTGGGTGACAACACTCTGCAGGATTCAGGAGTGGAGCTGCTGAGCTCTGGACTAAAGAGTCCAAACTGCAGACTGAAGACTCTCAGGTCAGTTCACTGACTGAACTTCATCTGTTTGTATTTATCATTTTCTGAATTTGAAAAAAATACATTAAAATTATTTTTCCATTTTTGCTAAAGACTGAATATTGATCAGAATAACAAAGAGAAGGTGAATGTGTGAGGGAGAGTGTTTGAGCTTCCACAGACTCACTCTGTGCTCCATGAGTCAGTGGAGATGCTGTCAGTACTGATGAGCTGTGAGGGAGATGAAGGAGTTGTTAAACATCTGATCAAAGTTAAAGTTCCAGATTATCAATGGATTGTTTCTACATCATCTCTGACATTAAAGGTCTCCTATCATGCACAAGTCACTTCCTGATGTCTTTTCTACATTACCATGTGTCCCCGGTGTGTCCCCGGTGTGTCCCCGGTGTGTCCCTATGTGTCCCCGGTGTGTCCCTATGTGTCCCCGGTGTGTCCCCGGTGTCAGGAGACTCACAAAGTGTCAGGAAACAAAACCCTCTCTCTTTTCCTCCGCACCCACATCTCTAAAAACGGGGGAACAACGGAGCTGATCCAGATTTGCTGCGTCATGACGGCATTACTAAAATGTGGACAGGCTTTACACCAACGGGCCAATCAGAAACGTTGCTGTCAGAAACAATGAGACGTGTTCTGGAAGTAATATGGTCTGTGTTTACATTAGCATGCTAACACTCAGAGCTAACCTGTACTGGAGAGAGCATGTGTGAAGAAGCAGGAAATAAAAAGGAACTCACCTTGTGGTAAACCTGAGAGAGAGAAAGAGTTTGAGCTCCATACTGTTTCAGAGAGAATCCTTGATGTGGTTTGGAACATGATATGGAGTTTCATCATGGCAGCATTTAGCTGAGTTTCTGCTGGTAGAATTCTGATCAGGCATTAGCTCCACCTCCTTTTTTTCTTTGTTCAAGCTAAGGACCCGAACCTGCTCTTCTCTAACAGCTGGAACAGAGGGATATGAGGGATTTCTAAAATGCATGATCTGTTTGGTATTTTGAGCAAAACACATCATAGACATGTTTTTATATATTTGTATATATCTGAGACCCATAATATATGCCTAAAAACAGCACGATAGGAGATCTTTAAAACCCTGTTTAACTCTGAACCGATTATTAAACCTGGAGTTATTTCAAACAGGAACATTGTTTTCTAAAGTTACATCATGTTTTCTTTATTCAGACTGTGGGGCTGCAGGTTGTCAGAGATCAGCTGTTCTGCTCTGGCCTCAGCTCTGAAGTCCAACATCCATCTGAGAGTTCTGGACCTGAGTCACAATGCTCTGAAGGATTCAGGAGTGGAGCTGCTGAGAGATCTTCTGGAGAGTCCAGACTGCAGACTGGAGACTCTCAGGTCAGTTCACTGACTCTCTGTTACTGCTGGAGATCTCATGTTTCATTAGTTATTCAACCTGATTCTTCTACAGAATTAATTTACATCCATTAAGTTGTAAATGTTCTTTTATTCATACTTTCATTTGTAGGTACTAAAGTAAGAACTGCAGAGATACATGCTGACTGATTCTTAAAGGAACTGTAATAGATGTTAGTTGTAAAAAGTAAATCTATGTATTTAATATTTAGTAAACGATAACTTCTGAATAAAGTTCATCTGAAGTAATATTAGTTTCACAGGATAAAGCTGACTTTCTGAAGAAGACATATGTTTTTGTTTCCATTCATTTCAATGTTGAGTAACACATCTGATTATAAACAGATTTGTATTCTCATCATGTTTTCTTTATTCAGACTGGGGGACTGCAGTTTGTCAGATATCAGCCGTTCTGCTCTGGCCTCAGCTCTGAAGTCCAACATCCATCTGAGAGATCTGAACCTGAGGGACAACAATCTGCAGGATTCAGAGAAGCTGCTGAGAGATCTTCTGGAGAGACCAGACTGCAGACTGGAGGCTCTCAGGTCAGTAAGGGGTCTCTGCTGGTTCAGCAGTGTTGTATGAACCACAGGGAGGTGTTTCTCTCACTGGGGAAACAGATCAGTGATGTTACCCACTGACTGCAGGCTCTTTCATTCTTCCATCAACTACAGAAGGCCAGCTGAAAATGCAAAGCCACACTTTAGTGATCAACTCTCTAACAGACATATGGGGTTTTACAGAAGAGTGGGAAAGGTAGTCTGTTCTTATGGGATGTTTTTAGTTTCTAGCCCAGGGGTGTCCAAACTGCGGCCCGGGGGCCAAATGCGGCCCTCGGAATCGGCCCTCAGCAAATTCTGAAAGTATAATGAAATATGGCCCACAAATGAAACCTCTGCTTGTCTTGTATTGTACTTCTTAAATATCTATGTACACATAAATTACACAGTAGTATTCATGTGTTAATAAGCCCACCTTTAAAATAAATGCAGTCAATTAAAGCTGAAAACATTTCCTAACAAATCTAACTTGATAAGAAAAAAGCCCAATAACTTATTGTTATAACAAGCGTGAAATAAACCCTTCATATTTCCTGTAATTATAATCAATCTGAAGCTCCTGCTAAAAGGAATGAGCTGCTAACAGAATAAAGTAAACCTTCTGGAGAGCTGTGAGCTGTTTTGTTTCTTAAAGCATCTTCAAGTAACAAGCATCCTTTACCTTCATCTGATTGAGTTTCCTGACTTATAACTGAACTTATGAGGCAACATACCTCTAGAGAGCGGCCCAGACCTTTATATATTTTTCTGTATGTGGCCCTCGGTGAAAAAGGTTTGGACCCCCCTGTTCTAGACCAATGACTGGTTACTTCCTGTCATGCAGCTGAGAGCTGTGGCAGGCAGTCGTAGTGTTTGCAGAGAAGATATGATGGGATGTAAAGCATGAGATCAGGACTCTGAAGCTGACTCAAAGAACTAACACTTATTTTAAACTGGATCTAAAACTGTTGGATTGTGTTCGTCTCTACAGGATCAGAGGATATGAGCCGATCAGAGCCACGATCCAGAAGACCTGTGAGTACTGAAACCATATCCTCCATTCATCAAGATATGAAACTCTTTAATGGAGCGTGACCTCAGAGGAAAACAACACTCTTCTTTCTCTCTTCATCATTTTAGCTGTTTCTCTTTGTTTAATTATCATCATTATTCTCTCTCTCTCTCCTTCTCCTCTCAGGTGACAGGAAGTGAAGACACACAGAAAGGTGAGAGGTCGTACCGTGTGAAGTTTATTTATTGAGGTTTCAACACGTTTTTCTGGTGTTCCAGACAAATCTGTAAGCTCAGGTTTGATTTGTTCTCAGTTTATTCATCACGGGGCGAGTTTGAGACGTAAAGAGGAGCGTGGAGGCATTTTGGAAAATAAAGAAGAAGGCTGCAGCTGATGAGAGACTTCCTGTTAGCTCCCCTCAATATTAAATGAACAAAAACAATCAATTGTACTTAAAGCTTTTCTTAAGAAGAAAGATGTGTTGCACATACACCTGCTGCTACCTACCACCACCTCCCACCCATCCCGGCACCAAAGAGGAGACTCCATCGACCCCAGATACCCCAACTCACTCTTCTTCAGGTTAGCTTGGAGCCCCGCCTTTACCTGCCCCAACATCTCACTTTGAACGATGTAGTCATCCGGATATCTGCATACTGAGAGTGGCACGCAGGACCCGGTCAATGAGCTGCTGGAAGGGGGTCCACTGGACTGGAGGGGCGCTTGGATCTGGTGATGCCTTGCTCTTCCTGAAAGGGGAGGACACCTATCTGCCATCGTTTTTCCACCTGACGACTGAGTTCGGCATCGGGGGTTCCAGTTGGGGTGAAGAGAATCTGGGGGGCATCCGATGGCTCCTGAATAGGGGGGGCCCTTGGAGTGTCCAACCTAATGATAACATTAAGAATAATAATAATGCATTTTATTTGTAAAGCACCTTTCATTGCTAAAAGTAATCTCAAAGTGCTACAAGGGGCATAATATACTTTTTTTTTTTTTTAAAGAAACACAAGTTTAATAAAAGGCTTTAAAAAAAAGAAATTGTTTTAGGCCCTTCTTAAAGGAGTCAGTGGTCTGTGGACAGGGGCGGACTGGCCATCGGGACGTTCGGGACGAATCCCGATGGGCCGGTACTGAAGGTATTACTCGCGGTATTAACTTGCGGCACCGAGGTGGGCCGCTCGGATAACTCACTAGCACTAGCACTAGCACCCCCCCCACCCCCCATGTTTTCTTGGGATTGAAAGAGGGTGATATCTCAAAGGTCACTGAGGCTCCATTTCAGAATAATATATATGATATGTTTTATAATGATTGATCATTAAAGTGTTCTCAAAGCTGGTAAAGGTGCAGCTAGTTTGAATGACTTTGTATACTGCAGGGTAGCTTGTGAATTTACTCCAGGTGGAACTAAAGTCTGATTTAACACGTGATTATATTTCACATCATTCATCTGTAAAGTAACTAAAGATATTAAATACATGTAGTGGAGTAAAAGTACACCATGTACCTCTGAACTGTAGTGGAGTAGAAGTAGTACACAGTTGCATACAAAGAAAACTAAGCTTCATCTCCAAGCCCAATGGCCTTGGAAGAGCTGCTGAGGAAAAGGAAAGACATCTGGAGACTTTGGAGAGACAGCTAACGGACAAACTCAAGGAACTGAAAGACACTCCCTGATAGGCCGTATGCTGTGTAGCCTTACCTTGAATGATTCAGTGCAGTGTTCTGTGCAGGTTTTTGGTTTTGCTTTTTCAACTCAAGGAGCTAAAAGACTGATTGAAAGTTGATTTGATTTGCATAATTTCTGATTGCTGATTCAATGTGAAGGAAAATTCACATTTGAGTTTATACAGTATATGTGTGCATATAATGCACCCTTTGGCCTAACCTGGGAGAGCCTTATGTTCACTGCCAACCTAAGGACCTCCAACATGTTAATAAAGAATGTATTGAAAAGTTATTTGGCTGATTGTTGTATATCGGCTCAGCCAGGTTATATGGGATGCCCAGTCTACTTACAGATGGGTCACTCATTTTGAAATATTACACTTTGTTTTCTTTTTCTTTAATTTATCATCCTCGTGTAGAATGCTATCACGAAACACACATTTGGTTGTTTATAGCATAAAGACCATCTGATTTAATGTGAGGTAGGGAAATAATTATTTGAGGATAAGTATGTGTATATAAATATGTAATTTACAACAGCTGTAAGATGCTTGATAAGCTTCAAATGCACCTTGAAAATGCTTGAAAAGTGCTTGAATTTGACTTTGGAAAAGGTGTAAGAACCCTGATAAATGCATTTCCCTTCTCATAAAATATTTGCATTTGTTGTAAAACAACATTGTTCACATCCTTGTCAAAGTTTATGGATGTCTTTTCTTTGAATGCAAAAATGAGAGATGACAGGAAATGACTTTGTAAATCAAGCTTGTTTATCACACTCCTCTCTAAAGTGCGTATGTTTCCCTCCAAATCGGGTGGAGTGAGAAAGAGCATTAAACTCTTTGTGATGTAAATGTTTTTTGTAAACGGGGGTTCAGTTCCCAGGTCTGAAAGCCAAGACAATTTGGGGAATGGGAGATTTTCACATGAACCCCAAACACAACACTGATGTGCCCGATCTCACACCACAAACACATTCAGGCTCAACAAAAGCTCCGTGAACCGTGTAGATAAACATTGTCAGAAAGTCACAATGTTCTGACCTTTGCCCTCCTGATGCTGAATGCTGTTTTTGTCAATCTGAACCGAGACTTTGCTGTGAAATACACGTGTTGTTCAACAGAAATACCTTCAGAGTTTCAGTATCGGGGATTGCCTATGTTATTTCCCCATGTGGATATATTTATACATTTATGTGTATTTTCGTCCCTAGGGGCTTGTTATCCTTTTTTTTGTGCGATTATATACAAAAGCTTTGATAGAAACGCGGGGATTCATTTTCTGTGTATAATCTCAATCGTTATTGTTTTACTTCCTTAACAGGTGGAACATTATACATACAATTGTTTTATTATCCATGAAACAGGTAGAAAAAAAGGGGTTTGTCAGGACATTATTTCTTATTGACATTTTTATGCCATCTTAGATATGGTTGAAAAAAAGGATGCTGAAGTGCAACACTACCCTTTATTTTAAATGGGACTCAAGATAGATAGGTGCAAAGAAAAATACATTTCTATTACAGACTGTAATGATACATAACTTTTTTACTGAAACACATACCATACATCATTTGCGTGTAAAGGGCATGGAGAAATGTAAACTACCTGGATAAAAAAATCATGAATCTAAGAAGGACCCTGGAAGAAAAAACCTGCCGAAAAACAAGCACCTTAGAAAGATGATCCTGGCACACACTTAAAGGTGGGGTAGGTAATTTTGGAGAAACCAGCTCGAGTGCGCTAGAATTTGAAAATACACAACCGGAAAAAATCTGCTTACAGAGCCCCTCCTCCAACACACACGAACGCGCACATGACCAATGAGGGCACGAGATAAATGTGTGCACGAGATGGAAGGCTGACAGGCAGGTAGGCCATCCAGTTATTTTAGCCGGGCCGGCTCAGATGATTGGTCGTGCTTTTTACAGCGCGACGGCTTCCACAGATGACATTTTTTTATGTATTTATTGTCAAAGCATTTAATATATTCATTGCTATCAGGATGTTGAGAGCATTCCATGGAATATAACAAAAAGTGTTTCTGAAATAAATGACATACCCCACCTTTAAACAAACTAAATATGTAATAATACTAATACAAATTGTTTTAGATTATGAATTAATCAAGATTAAAAAAAATATTTTACCAGATTGTTTTTCTCAATTGCTGTTAAGGGCTTCCATACTAGCAGTTTTATGCACTGTATGATTGTCAAATGAATCTTATTTAGCAGCAAAACAAAGCCCGTTCAACAATCACATATGGGTGTCTATACTTCTGGCTATTTGTCATGTCTGTACAAAGTGTTTTCATGGCAGCACTTCAACTGCTGACTTGTTTTTCTCAGAAGCCTCAAAGCTCCCAGGATCCTGCCTTCTGCTGCCATCTAGTGTTGAACATGTGTCAGTAAAGCTACAAATGTACCTTTCACACTCGCAGGGGTGTCAAACTCAATAGTCTAGCAGCAAGTCCTCATAAAAGGCTTTAGTTTTCGAGATACCCCTACCCGAGGTAGAACAAAACACAACAATGATTGTTCTTATCTTTAGGGTCTCCCATTAATTAAATTGATTTTTGGGAAATATTATTTTTTGGGGGAAAACATTTTTTTTGTTCTTTAGAAATACTCCAATCCCTGAAAAGGAGCCAAATTAGACCAGGCCGAATATGGGAAAGGTGACAAGAAAGCCCATAACTTGAGAAGGATCACTCTTCAGATTTGCTGAGGTATGAACCAGGTGGCTGTCCTACATCACCAAATAGTCAGACAATGATTTACCTAAACAAATACTGTTTAGGTATTAGTTCTATATTGCAAGCCTCTAAAACAGGGGTGCCCACACTTCTTCAGCTTGGGAGCAATTTTTTTCAGAATTTCTTCTTCCACTTTATCCACATTGCTATCATTTTTTTTAAGACGTTTCAGCTCATTAACCTTCTTGGTGGGCTGGCCCAGCTTCGCTCTCCTTAATCCATTTAGCCTGTGGAGCCTCTCCTCTTTTGCCTTATCCGTGGGCTTTGGCTCCCTCTTGTGGCTCCTTTCGGTTAGTTCATCCATGGCTCTTTCAAATTAAACTTAATACAGTGCTTAACCCTCTGGTATCATTCGATTGGACTACGCAAATTAGTCATTCGAGACAAAAATGTCCACTGCAAAAGACTTTGATAAAAACATTATATTAAAAGGTTTTTTTCACAACTTTTTTGGGTTCAATCTTTAAAGCAACTTCCGCCCTAATAGAAAATAACAAGAATGTAATCATTTTCAGGATTTTAAACCTTTAAATGCCATTTTGAATACATGAAACCGCTGTGACACAACAAGTAGTTTGTACAGAATAGGAAAGACATGTCTACCTGTCTACCAGCATGTCATGCACTCACTGGCTGTGACACAACAAGTAGTTTGTACAGAATAGGAAAGACATGTCTACCTGTCTACCAGCATGTCATGCACTCACTGGCTGTGACACAACAAGTAGTTTGTACAGAATAGGAAAGACATGTCTACCTGTCTACCAGCATGTCATGCACTCACTGGCTGTGACACAACAAGTAGTTTGTACAGAATAGGAAAGACATGTCTACCTGTCTACCAGCATGTCATGCATAACTGCATCAACAACAGATGCAGCCTCTGAAAATCTGCAGCCAACAGAGGATGCATTTCAACAACATGTGCAAAGAGCAATGTTTCAGACAGCGATATGGTGTCCGCCCGAACCCAAACCTTGTTATGGAGTCCTATTGGCAAGGGGTGGATTGTCAGAGATGGGGCCATTCAAACAGTGCTATTTACAAAAACCCCAGCACCTACAGAAGTGAGGGACATTACTCACTTGTATTGCAAAGATGCAAAGTGTGGAGAGAGTGGAAAGTGCCAGTGCCTCTCTGTTGGCCTTCCCTGTACGGAGTTCTGCAGCTGCTGTGCAGAATGTCAAAATGTGTCCCCTAACGTTTCTGAGGAACCTGACATTTAACATTCTATTCTAGCATCTATATACTTGACCTCTCACAGAATGATTTGAGGATTTGTATACTGTACTTTGAATTCAGGTTCCAGTTTCAATAGAGTGGCGAAGTCCCTCCCCTTCCGGTGGACCTCAATGGGACCTTATTTCGGAAAAATTATGTATTGAAGTCAATGGAGAGAAAAAGATTATCTTTCGATCCCGTTTGAATTGTGCCACAAATTACACATATGATGTTTGTCAATTTAAAAGATAATTTTGCAAGTCAAAACAAATAAAATGTGTCGTAAAACTGTGAAGTAACACATTTTTTTGTGTGAAACGCTCAATGAACTACATTTCTGGTCTCGCACAACAACACACGTCACCAAGATGGCCGTCACTACTGTCTTGCCAAAAAAGGGATTGACTACCCTCACTATCACCACAATGAAACGCGTCCAGAAGAATG